GCCAGAGTGGACCTTGCAACTAGGCGTGGCCTGGTCTCCAACCTGTCAACTCGTTAAATTTGACACCAGCATCTATAAGGAAGCAAGCCAGCCATATCCGACAGGGAATTAGTCACGCCAACCCTGCTTTTGGCGTTTTTCAACCCATGACACCTGGCCTACTTCTAAAAGTGTTGCGCCATCTTCTCCCCATAGTTATATTCCGCGGTCGATGGGTGAATCAAACCTATACATACACAAAATTTGATGAACAAAAACAGTTGCTTTCCCAAAATCAGCGTTAACTTGAACCAAACGAGTCAGGATGGACCAACCTCTGCAATCACCGTTGGTTTCGTCTACCGGCGATGTTTGCTGGGTTTCCCTCATAAAAAGTAGACGGCGCAACTCACTATCCCCGCGCTTGTTATTGGAGACGACAAAATATTTGTTGATGAAAAAACATTAATAATGTAGACTGTTGATTAAGAATAATACCCCCTTTTGGATTTTAGAGCTCTTCGAGTTTCAGTTTGATGAGGTTAATGTGATTCAGTCTAGTCCAATGAACGATGATCCGCCCCTAGAGACCGTGCCATCGCCCTTTGGGGCCTCCGCCAAGAGCTTGGGGATCATCTTGACCACGAAGCTGCAAAACGGACGCGATGTCTCAAGGAGGGCGAGGCCCCTGACCCCTTCCAGGTACAGGCTGAGGAGGAGAACTAAACCCATTGGTGTGGCACCCACAAACTATCCATATGATTTGCGAGCCACTTCGCATTCTTCATGGTCCCAAGAACCATCCATCAGACTTTAAGGTGTTCTGCTTATAATCATCCATCTTGAAAGTGTCCACTCTCTAGCAAGCTGGATCCATCTACAATTGTCTCCCTGTGCACAAATGCAGCCTTGTCCAAAATACGGTTTGGTGGTTTCGCCCATACCAGGCTAAGCGAAGGAACGCAGCTGCCAAGCCCGTCGAATCATTTAGGCAACAAGTGGCAACAAGCAATGACCTGAAGTTGCTTCTTAAATAATTTCTTTGGTCAAATAGAAGCTGTAGGCAATATTTGACAGCTCTGTCGTTCTGTCTGGTTTGCGTCAGATACTACTGGATGGTGTAGGCTTTGAATGCCCGGAGACACGGTGTAGACGCGGTAGACGCAGTGTGACCCATGTCTGCCAAGTGTTTGTCGGAATACCCAAATAGCCATTGACAACTGAAATGGCAAAGGTCCAAACAATGCCACTATACCCGCAAGGAGGCAAAACCAGATCCCAAGGTAAATGAGGCACGGCTGCGCCTGCGCGCTGCAGCTTCATCCTTTTCGATGCAAACCTCACTTGGCTCCGTTAGTGATTGATGCGTCTGTCTGTCAGGTTGGGAGTTGGAACTCGTGAGCACCAGGCGCAGCCTCTGGGTCGCGGGCCGTCGTTGCCAGGAACACCATCCTGAAGGCAAAGGCTTCCAGTGGAACCGCACGGGCTTTCCTCATGGGTCAGGCTTATACCTACCAACCTCCAAAAGATACAAAAGGAGGTACATGTATTCAGATGTTTTCAGTGGCACATCTGGCACCAGGGTTCTCCAGTCAACCTTTAGGACGCAAAAATGGGACACGTCTAAAGCCGGCGTTTTGAATCACTCTCATAGCATGAGGCATAGTCATAGTCCATGTGTCTAGGACCTCACTACCTCCTTTTCTTGAACACCAGCCTCTCAGAAATATGGTATGTTCCCTTCGAAACAGGTGTCAAATGGCTTCTGGCTATCGGTTGCCCTGAAACACTCTGGTCTTTATGGATCGGTGAGTCCACTGTAAGTTTCAGTTGGAGCGCACCCCATCACGCGCATTTATCTCAACTCCGTGCGTTCGCAAGAGTTAGAATTTTAGACTGGCGGAAAACCCTCGTGACGACGAGCATGCCACGCGGCCGCGCCTCGCGCAGTCCCGATGCGGGCTGTGTTACGGGCTGTGATCCAGGGAGGCTGAATACGGGGCCAGTTGGCCTATGTACTAACATGCACTAGCAATGCAATGTACGGAAGATTTGCCTAGATTGGATATGATTGGGATGATTTTAATTCAACATGGTTCAAGGCTTAATGTAGGTAAATATGAGTGCCATATTCTGCCATACATGGATGGTCTGGATATGCACTTTGAAAACATCATATGCCTATGGCTCCTTAAGGCTTTACTGCTACATATACAAGCTGCGACTTCGTCTTCCTGGCTTCACTCTGCAGAACGTGCACTATGGAGGTGTTAAGGCATTCCCATGGCTGGGGTGCAAAGGCTCTGGCAGCATGATTATATTGAAGTGGTTCAATGTTTTTGCCGCACTCCAATTGCAGCAACATGGGTGGTCCAAGGAGAATGAACAAACCCTGAAATGGATTTTGGATGGTACAAATGCTGGGATTTCATGGGGTCAGGGCCTGTTTTCCCATGGACTTTCGTTGAAAAGGAACTGCAACTGTCACCTTGCAAGGGCTGTTCAGAGATTTGCGAGTTGTTACTGTCGATTAGCTAAATTTTGCTGCTAGAGAACAAATACTCTCTTTATGGGATGGGTTCCAAAACTACACGCTCTGGTTCACGTTCGAGCCGATCTTGATGACAGCACGGAGCGGAACCAGGTGGCCACTCTACCGCCAAGCTGCTTCGATAACAGCAGGTCTGAAGACTTCGTCGGCAAAATTGCAAACACTAAGGTGTGTGGGGGCTCCAGGGTGATGGTTTGTGTATACTTGGAGGATCTTGGCGGCAGTTGTGTGATTCAGCGGTTGAATTATGTTCTAGCAGCATCTTTACCCATCCAGAACACCAGCGTCAAATAAACTGCACAGGGAGGAGGCCTCAGGATATGTATATATAAATATATATATATGTATATATGGTACCCCAAAAAATGTCTACCTCTTTTGTTTTTAATTGGTATTTACAGTGTTTTATGCATATTTTCGAGTATATATACATGTGTATATATATATATACACATGCGTTTGTTGGGTGCAGTTGACATCGTTGCGGAGCCGCTGCGGCCCCACCAAGTCGACTTGAGGGAGATGTTTCGATAACACACTCTTGCTCAGAAAAGGCGTGTTCATTGTGTGGATCTTTGTGGGTTTGGGGCGAACACCCAAACGCCCATCTCCACCTCCCCTTGTCTCATCGCCATTCCTTTTCCATCTGTTCCTCTCCCTTGCGCCCCCATGCAGCAATGCAAATCCGAATTCATCCGGCACCTGGGCCGCGCACGTGCGAGGAGTTGAGACGGCGCACACAGGAGTTGAGACGTGGTCCGAAAAAGCTCAGAAGGTCTTGGACTCTTGGAAGATAGTCCATCAAAGATTGCTCAATCCAACTCGGTCCTCATCACTGGCAGCGATTAGAAACAGTATTGAGTCCCTTTTCGTCTCCAACAACAATATATATATATATATATCTGACCAGTTGTTAATGAAATCCTGTAACGCCCTGCAACGCCCCGTAACCCCAGCGCCCAGTGGCGCTTGCACTGGGTATCTGGGTATTTGTAGAATTCTTGGATGATCCATACCTCACCCCATTCTTGATAATTCCATACAATTCCTATTGAATCCATCAACACCCCGGCTGGCATGGAGGACTGGAAACCACAAGCCCACTCCAGTGGAGCACATTGTCGGAGTCTTCCGCTGAGCAAATCATCGGAAGGAAAGAACTACGACCTGATCAACAGATTGATCATCATTCACCAAATCATCCGTTGCTCAGATTGATCATGGGGAAGTTGATCATCAGGACTATAGCTCAATCTGATCAACTTCCCCACAATCCGCGTTCCCGTGGCAGCCAGTGCCCCAAAAAGACTCCTTCAAAGACCAGGAGCCTTGTGGCAATGCCAACCACCTCCCTAGAGCATCTTTCAGGCCATGTCGATCTAGTAGGCAAGTTTGGAAGTACACGGAAGTGAAAAACCACCGGGTCATCCGAAATCGGGGCCATGCCATCCACCTGGCGTCGATTCCGCCATGAACTACTGGAGGAACTGGGCTTCGTGTGATCTTGGCTGATCCACACACCAGCGCGAAAAAGCTTCACTCGCTGGTGATCTGGATTAGTTCACCCCGGTATTTCGCAACGACTCGTCCACAACGGGCTCTTCCTTCGGATTCGGCACTTGATCTTCTTCAAACCACCCACTAACGCTTCAGTCCCCCCACTCTGCTGAAAGAACACCTGTCGCCTGTCTGACTCTGTCCATCGAGTCGTCCATCTCGCCCATCATCTGAGAGGCCCTACGCCGGGCACATCTGATTCATCCCGGCCTGGACACCTGGCACATGCGGCGGTGTTGTTGGGTGTGGATTTTCCGTGCCGGAGAGCGAGATGGCGCTCAAAAACGAAACATCGAAAAGTGTCATACCAGTGACCAAGAAACGTTTATATATTGAGAGATTGAGATTCAGATTGATTTGAATATTTGTATAGAGACAGAGAGATTCCCGATATGGCCCTTATCGATCTCTGATTCTGAGTCAGCATAGGACAGCTACCCTTACTGCTAGACCACTTCTATTTCTTGCCCTTGCTCTTTCATAACGCATGTCAGCACTGCATACTGCATACGAGATAGATGTAGAATGGGTCAAGAGAGAAAGAAAAAGAGAGAGAGAGAGAGAGAGAGAGAAAAAAAAAAGAAAAAAGAAGGGGATCTCTCGATTGCCAACCATCCAGCCTGAGTTGTTTTGGAACAACGACCAAAGTGACCAACGCACTCTTCAAATGAAAAATGAGGAGTCGAAGTAGACTGGTGAGCAGTTGACTTCGAAGAATGTCAACAGAAGAGTGGCCCTGAAATCAAAAGCTTCACAAACCTCACAAGTCGAGTGCAGGATGAGGTGGACTATGGTGGACTATATAATGCAAGTAGCCCCAGTTCAATTTCTCGTTGGCCTTGGCTTGGAGAACAGAACGACACACGGTCGTTCCTTCGATTTCCGGTGCGGCGTTTCGTTCGGCCTTCAGCCTTCAGTGGCTCTGGAACTTCAGATCAAGAATCAGAATCCTGCAGCTGGGCGTCTCGGTATTCAAGGGCTCATCTGCCCCCTGAGTAAACCGACGAACGTCTCCCAAATCAAGAAATGAACTGAACAAACTTCTCGCTGTTCTCGGCAGGCGATCGCGGACAAAAGACCCGGTGAAATCGAGGTGTTCGGATTTCGGGAACTGCTGCAAACAAAGGGAATCGTGGACTTATGTCGCCCATCTATCCATGCTTCTGTCTTCTCAGTTCCATATTCGCCTTCAGGATCATTTGAGGCTAGCCATGACGAACACTGGCCGGTGCATGTTCCAAGGAGTCGCTTCCGCGAGATTTGCCTCAGGGTGTGGCTCAAAAACATGTCTAAACAAGATACCCGTTGAATAACGCCAAAATCGTTGACCCCTAGGATTTTAATATGGGTTGTCTAACGGGTATAACAATGAGCAGGCTCCAAATGCAAATCTTGTCTTGACCACTTGTCACTTGAAACACCCGCCACCCTGACTTCATGGCCGAAATCCCGCTCTTCTTCACATCTTCGAAGAAATCCTGCAAGAGCAAAGCATGGCGCATACAGCATAGAGCACATGTCAGCAGATCACCACATGGAGTTGCAGCAATGTCGCACAACAAAAAACTCGGTCATTAACCTGTAAGAATAATTGTGGTGGCAGCTTTGGTTTTACCCTTCATCTTCCCCAACACTTTACCCCAAATTCAATTTGATATCTTGCACAATCCAGTGATGCTACACTCATGGCCAGTCCAGCATGCATAGACTGGTGAGGACAACCATCCAAGATTCTATTCAAGCGCGCGGCATGATGAGCAACATGGAAGTGGAACATGGGCCATGAACCACAAACGAATGAAACATGAACCCATCTCCTATTGAGATCACTTAATCTGCTTGCCTGGGATGACTAGGAGCGCACGTCCTAACAAACAATCTTTTGGATGCCTCAAAATTCCTGGAGACTGCCTACAAGTATGTCTGTCTGACCAGAGACCCTTGTCATCTGGCTCTAGAAAAATGGAACCCCGCCCAGTCCCGCCATGTCCGGTCGGGCCCAGGTTGTCCAATCGCAGCCTCTCCTTTAGTTCAGGGTCGTCTCTCAACTTCTCGACCGCCTGTTCGGTCATCTTTTGATACTCCTGCACCGGGGCGTCAGCGTGCCGTGCTTGCAAGCAACCCATGCGCTAGTCAGTAGTCAGTAGCGGAAAACAAGTAGATTTTTTGCATCGGGTTCTGTTTGCGGGAGCCCCAAGACACATTTACGGGGTACGGTAAATGGACGTAAGTTATCTCTGCCAGCGCAGTCTTCCGCGACAGCCTCTGAGGCCCAGGACGCGCCTCGCCCCGGAGCAGCTGGCCCCCAAGGTGACCGCACGCGTCGTCCCACCGGACGCCCTCCCACCTGATGATTCTGACCTGGTGCACTGCGGAACTGTGGAACGGAACAAAGCAGATCTACTACTTGGACCCTGAGTGCGTCTGCGTGTGACGTATGTATTTCTGCAATTGACGAAAGTAGAGTGAACGCAGTGAACGCCCAAAGTGCACCTTAGACCTCGGAGCTGGAATGCTTTTGCATGCACTTTCTGTGTCAAATCTCTTCAACAACCCCCAGCCTCAAAGTCTGTGCTTGCAGATCTTGCCAGAAGGTATCCTTGATGCGAGTGGATCTTAATCAGCGAAGTTTGAAGCTATCACTGACGGTCCATAAGCGGCATAGCGTCGGAACGGAAACCGCACCTTTTCTAGTCGCTTGATCCTTGAGCCAAAGTACATATGGTACATATATATGTACATGTTGCACTGTACATGTCGCTGCACTTCCATTCGCACCCCCCATGTGAACGGCAACAATATGTTCCGATCACACACGAAAATTTAGGGATGTAAGTGCTACAAAGAAATTGTATGATTTGCCGCGAGACTCTTATGAGGCTCATACTACGAAACATGCTGGACTAAAGCGGACTTTTACATATAAAGTGTGCAACTATGGCTCAGAACCCTTTGAAAAAAAATCGAATTGAACAAGTGAGACAGTCACGAGGCCTCGCTCAGTATCCACTCAAAAGAGCATCGCTTTGATGTAGATCCGAACTGGTGACTTCCACGTAGATGTCACATTGGCAACTGACTTCACACTTCTCAAAAGATGTAGGTTTTTGGTTTGGATACACTTACAGAACGGCAAGTCGGAGAGACAGTCGGTGATTGTCTTCCTTCCATTATGCTCATGGTATCAAATCAGATTGACGATTTGCAATGATACACTTACAGCGTTTCAGGTCAGATAAACATCCGGTGAATGATTTCCTCCCTGGTTTGCATGGTATCCTCATAGTCGTTCAAAGAAATCACCACTGGTGATAACCTCTCCATCCACGATGATCCCAGCTGCCCTGAGCATCCCATCGATCATCTTCTCCCTTCTTGGACTTTCCCTTGGACTTGCTCTTTCCCTTCCCCTTTTCAGAAGGTTGAGGTACTTCGCGACGTTCTTGCGTTAGCGCCGGCCTCCAAGATGTTCCAGATTGGCCTCCTCCTTTGGAATGTCCTCGGGATGATGAAGAAGTTGTACCTTCTACTGCATGTGCGTTGGCGGCAAGATCTTCCTGCAAAGCTTGCTCAAACACATCGGTAGCACTGGATGGTGATTTATCATGTGGTCTGGCTTTTGGAGCAGCCTTCACCTTGTTCTCCTCTGCTGATGAGGGCCCGAAACTCTTAGGTGCTGTTGAAGGTTTTGGCTCCTCACTTGGTGCTGACAACGGCTTGGCCTCGGTTCTGGGTGTAGATGCTGGCTTTGCCTCAGCTCTTGACGAAGATGCTGCCTTCGCTTCAGACTTAGTCGTAGATGTTGACTTAGCTGTTGTTTTGGCTGCCTGCTTCTTCTTGCCCTGAATCTCCTTGGCCCTATCTCCAAATCCTAGACGATTGGTAAGAGCTTGAACATGCTTGTGTTCTACCACGCTCATCCATCTCTCTGTATGTCCAACGTTGGGGTTTCTGGCCATTGACTCTATGACTTCCTGAGCTTGTGGGGGCAACCTAATCTCATGTTGATCAATGATCAACAGAATAGACTTCTCCCACTTGCTCTTCATTCTCGAGTACATGATGTTCAGAGGATCGATCACCTTGTGGTAGGGTGATGTAATGTCGGTTCTAAAATAAGAATATGTCCGACACCCATAAATCGCATGGATGCACTTCTGTACCAATTCAGTCATTGTGCTGGCTTTCTTCGCTTTCAACTCCTCAAGCTGGACGTCAGTCAAGTTGGTGGAGTATTCGAAGTTGCCATATTCCTCCTTGAAGGATTTCGGAGTATGACCAAATGATAGAATCATGAGTGCTACCTTGCAAATGAATTGCTCTCCTCTGAATCGGTGCCAGGCCTCCTCAGTTGTAATATTGTTGTCGTTGGCAAAGATTAACATCATGTCATCTGTTGGATCCAATGGTCTCCCATCGTCATCGATTTCAGTGGAATCCCCTGTACCGAACTTGCTTATCACATCCAGGCGCTTCCTTTTCCAATTTGCTTTGAAGTCGGTAAGGCTGGTGCAATAGTAGCTCTTGTACATCAGGGAGATCATGTTCAGCACACATTTGACCACATACCTATCCATCAAACCCGATGCATTCATGGAGACGTCCTGACAATAGGCTCCCTCTTGATGCGCATAGATTCGAGGTTCCGGTACTCGACAATAGATGGGGAGATCTTCGTTGTCTCTTCCTTCTTCGGGATTGAACTCGGTCGCTCCATGCTGTGCATAGTATCCCGGTTCATCACGATCTGTCGGTCGATTCGCCTCCGGATGTAAGTCGTCGGTGACGTCTTCATCCTCGGGCTCACCATCTTGATGTTTCTTCCCCTCATATTGTTGTGTGCTCCTCTGGATCTCGATGATCACGTTTCGTTCGTCTTCATCTTCTAGATCAGAATCACGACCGTAGTCGATCTCGTCCTCATTGAAAGATGGGGTCTCGACATTGTCACTCTTGAAGTTTTCTGCACCATCAGACGGTTTGGAAGGATCTAAATTGTCCATGTCCTCGTCGTCGTCAGCTGCTTCAGTTTGAGCGATGTCTTCTTCCCAAGCCTTTCTGATCTCGTCCATAGTGGCCTGGTCCAATATATCTTGATCATCATGTTCAGGCTCCCTCTTTTCCTTCTTTTCCTCTTCATCGTCGCTCACAAGATCAACGGGTGAATCGGAAATGACAGTGTTGCGAATACCACACGAGAGTAGCCTGCCTTGACAAGATAGACACACGGACAAAGATGAAGAAGTCAAATGCATACATGATGGACACAAAATATTGCCATCCACGTTGCGATACCCTTCACATGTTCTGGAGATGATTTCGTCCCAAGTTTCCTCACTGATGGAATCCTCGATCAGCTCTCCATTGTCATCGAATCGTACTTCATCGATAAGGGACACGAGCTTTTGGACGTTGTCATCTGTCGCCGAGGCTGACTTCGTGACTTCGTCGGCTCTCTCGAGGATGGTATGCTTCTGAGCAACCCAAAGTCCATGACGCGCCGCTAGAACAACTTGCTCTCCAGTGCTTCCCAGCAGGAGTCTCCTCCATGCCTGAACGTGGTCGTCCCAATACCAAGCACCTCGTACACATCTCCATGGAACTTCTCTAAAAACAACAGTGTAGGAATTCTCCGAAATTCTTCCCCCAAGCTTCCTCAAAGTCATGATTGGAACATAAAGGCAAACGGGCATTCCCCCTCTTGGCCATCTTGATCTCAGAATCTTTGATGATCGATCATCCCACGGCGCAAAGTGGTTGAAGAAAACACTACCTCTATATCCCTCCATTCCACCAGGGACAATTCCTAGTTTCATGATCGACTCAATATTGGAAAGCGATGTCATGTGAAAGCTTCCTCCAAGCTGCATTGCCACATTCTCTGGAATGAGATGTGAAGTCCACACAGGATATATTGACACATCCTCTTCAAGAACAGTCTCTCTTCCAGAATTGTGAGAGGCAACAGCTCGAATTGCACAAGGAACGATCCAACGTTCATGCTTCAGGAATGACGGTGCGTCTGTGCCATAAAACATGAGGTTTGCCCAGTATTGCCTTTCCTCTTCAAGTGAGACATCCTCCTTTGAGATGCGAATGGCGGCAATCTGATAGCGTACTCTGTTCTGCAACTTCTTTGCATGCCACATCGCCTTGCATAAATATTGGTATCGCTCTGTCTTGACATCTTGACGATGTCGATCACCTGAGATAGTACTGATATTGACACCATCGTTGAAGACATGGTCATACTCCAGGATCTCATCGATGTTCACCCATCCACCCTCATTGCACTTCGGGGACACATGAGGTTTTCGACCGCGGTGCGATTGAATCCCATTATGCTTTCCCACTCCATGCCTGAGCAGTCTATTGAGTCTATGGCTAATCTCGTTGACCCTCTGACTCTCCTCGCTGGACTTGTCGATGCGAGTTGCTGGGTTCATCTTTGGTGGATCCGTGAAAGATGCATCCCTCTTCGGTCCATTCCAGTACTCCACATAGAATGTAACTCCATACTGTGGAATTATCTCGATGTTTCCTCTATCGCAAGTCACCTCAATCTGCCGATATCCAGCCTTTTGAACTTGTTGTGGGTCAGGAGCAAGGTCCTTCACTTTGGGCATCTTTATTCCGAGTGCTGCAGCCTCCTGAATAAGTGCATCAAGTTCCCTCTTTCCATCAGGACCTGATCTATCAACCCTGTGATTTGCGACCCTGTACTCTCCTCCTTCTTTGTCATCGGCAATGTCAAAGAGGTCGACGGGCTCTTTGAATCTGGTGACGAAGCTGGCGTTCCCAAAGGCCTTCTTGGTTGCCTCGACCGCTTTCGCGTATTCCTCTTTTGCAGAGTCTGACGATTGTGGTCTACCTTTGGCTCTCGGAGAGTGAGGTGGTACCTTACCTCCTAGTTCCGGCTCTTCTTCGGGAAGTTCAATATCTTCATCGTCCACATCCATATAGCCCTCGTCTTCGACGTCTTTGGATGACTTTGCTTTCCTCTTTCGGCTCTCAACATCACGTCGGATGATTGCCTTGTCGTCCTCGGTGAAGCATCTGCGCATAGTGTCCTCCATGGAAGAGAATGATTTCATCAACACGTCCTTCTTCTCAGTGTCGGGACAAATAGCCAGGTGATGCTGGTTTGAACCACAACAATAGCACACATTTTGGCTCACTGCGCGTGCTCTGACTCTTCTGAGGTTGTCATAGGCGGATTTCCAGCTGGAAGCGGTTGCTGTACCTTGCCCACTGCGTTTGGCAGCTCTTTTCCGTTCCTCAGTATCTGGATTCGATGTCGGGTAGTGCGACCATGTTTTCGTCGGGGATACTGAACGACCTTCCCCATCCTTGTAGTCTTGCGGATCAAGCTCAGGCGTAGGTGGTTCAGGTTCCTCGACTCCTGGAGTGGTACTCGCAGGGTCGGCTTCGCCATCCTTCATCTCTACATCAGGCTCTTCCGTAGACGTTCTTTTGGGCTCTGGGGCTATGGCCAGTCGTACCATTCTCCTGAACTCTGGTCTGGTAGCATACCTGGACATGACGGCATCGATACAGGCTCGTTCTTCAGCTGTAACATGGAGCCCTGAAGGTCTATTC